TTTATGGTTACATATAATAGATGTTTTTCCAGTTTTTGTTTTAAAAAGGGGTTATTTAATGTACACAGTGAGAAACATCCGTAAACACAGGTTTTATTGTTTGGAACTATTGTTTGCTCTCTTCCTGCAGAGTATTGCTAGCAGCTGTCAGTCCTTACTTTAAGGACGTTTTCACGAGCTTCGGCAAAGAATCCCAGGGTGGAGAAGTTGTGCTGCAGGATATGGCTCCCTTCATCCTCCAAAGCATTTTACAATATATCTACACAGAAGAGCTATCACTTAGTCTGGAGACAGCCCCAGAGCTGTTTGCAGCAGCCAGCAAGCTACAGATCCGCCCCCTAGTGGAGATCTGCTGCAGGTAACATGAAAGGACCTGCAGTCTTATGAGTCTGCTTTAGGATGAAATAAATGTGTGTTTTAATGGTCTCGTAAGGTAACACCAAGCATCAATACAATTAATTTAAAACTCAGCTCATCACACTCAGGGTGGTTTAGACATGATCCAAGAAACTTTCACAGAAAATGCCTGTTCAAATTCAGCCCTGGGCAAGTGTGATGAAATGTCACAGCCATGTAAATAGCTGTTCTGAGTAAAACGAGCTGTGGGTATCGGCCTGATTTTCAAGGGAAAGAGGATGAAATCACCATGATAATAATACCTTCCTCTTATATACAGCCTTTCATCAGGAGGTCTCAAAGTTATCGGTCTCAACAGAGGGATGACTTGGATTCCTATAGATCAGTTAGCCTGACTTCTATCCTGAGCAAATCAATGGAACAACTGATACAGGACTCTGTTATTTAAGAAGTAAAGGATAGCAATATAATTAATTCGAACTATTGAGTGACAGAACATAGATCTTGTCCAACAAATTTGTTCTTTTCCAAGATTACAAGTCTGGTTGATAAAGGTAACTGTGTTGACTGATAGATTATATCTGGATTTCTGTAAAGTGTTGGACTTAGTACCACATTCTGACTGGAAAACTATCTCTAAAGAAAAGCAGGATGGCACATATTGAGAAAGTTGCCTAACTGACGAATCTCAAAATGTAAATGTAAGTTTGGATTCATCATGAAGTGGGGAGTGCTCCTAGTGGGGTTATCAGGGGCTGGTTCTTGGCCCCAGTTCAATATTTTTATCAATGATCTTGAAGAAAATATATAAACATTGCTGATAACATTTGCATATGACAGAGATTGGCGAAGTGGTAACGAATGATGAGGACAGGGCAGTCATACAAAGCAATCTGGGTCACTTGGTGAGCTAGGTCCATTCAAATAAAATGGGTTTAACGGCGCTAAATGCAAGGGCATACATCCAGGAACAAAGAATGCAGGGCACACCTACAGGCTGGGGAACTGTATTCTGGAAAGCAGGTCATTCTGACAATTACTTAGGGTCATTGTACATCACCAAATGAACATGTGTTTGATGTAATGCTGTTGCTAAAAGGACTAACACAATACTTGGTTATATTAACAGGGGACTATCCAGCAACGGTAGGGATGCGGTATTCCCTCTGTATACAGCATAGATGAGACCACTCTGGAATGTTTTAAGTATTAATAATTAAAGACTGATGGGAACAGGGGCACTAGGTCTCCTCTTGGTTGCCCAAACCACCAAGCTATAGAGTCAGTCTCACTTACTGTCGCTCTCTGGCCCAATTAATCTTGAATGATTTAATCCAAAGTGGAACAGCTTCAACAAAAGAGATTGAGGGCATCTCACATTAGCATTTGCCTGAGAGCTTTGGAAGACATGGTTCAAATCCTTTCTTCCCTCAGACAGAGCGGGGACTGAACCCTGGCCTGAGTGCTCTGACTAAACCAGAGTTTCTCAAAGCTGAGCCCTCCCACTGCTCCCTTTAGGAAAATGAAACCACCATGCCTCCCTGCAACTCTGACCAATGGTGTTACAGGTAGATCAACCGAATTTTAATGAAATGAAATGAAGTTGAATTTTAAAATGTCTCAAATGTTATTGCCCTGTCCCTGCTCCCTGGCCTCATGTCTGACACAACAATGAGCAGTCCCTCAGAGCAGATTGTGAAGATCTTCATAGTCTGATTCTTCTTCGCCTTTCTTAGATGCTTTAATGAGCAATGAACTAGTTAACAATGTTGACATTAAAGTATCATCATTGGCACATGAATTAACGGCCAGTGAAATGGAAGTGGCCGTTCATGCCTGCAGAGGACACGGTAACTCAGGCATCAGTTACACATGCCTGGGTGATGTTTTGAAAGTTGTCTTCATAACCATAACATTGACTTTTTTTTTTAAAAAGTGAAGTTGAGCCAGTGGAGAGTGAATGAGAGACTTGTCCACATCCCTAGCTAGTCCTGCAGGGGTACCCCACATTTTGGGACACACTGGAATACTTGATCACACTGGCCCTTTTTGTCTTTAAAAAGCTATGCAATCTAAGTAGGCATGGGTTTAATAGGCCATGAAGACATCCCTGTCATCCCCCAAAATATGATCTAGGTGAGGCAGAGGTTGTGGTGAGAGGAGTTTGTGTGGGGGCCAGCATGGGGTCTTTGTGTACTTGTGCTTTTGAGCTGCCATTCTGGAGCCTTTTGCCTGAAATAAATTCACTAACTCAGTTACAATTGACTGGCCATAAAAGCAATGCTGCCACCCTAATGTTGGGGTGTCAAACTCAGGAGAAAGTTTTCTCATGTAGTTTGCTTGTAAATTGCGTCTTGTGGCCCCCTAACGTGGCTCGTCTACATCGAGGGTAATACCTATTACTAGTATTGTCAGCTAATATTGTCATGCTCAGGGTCTAACTGGTCACCATATTTGGGGTTGGAAAGGAATTTCCACCCGGGTCAGATTGGCAGAGACCCTGGAGGTTTTTTGCCTCCCTCTGCAGCATGGGGCACGGGTCACTTGCAGGTTTAAACTAATGTGAATGGCGAATTCTCTCTAACTTGAAGTCTTTAAACCATGATTTGAGGACATCAGCAACTCAGCCAGAGGTTAGGGGGCTATTACAGGAGTGGGTGGGCGAGGTTCTGTGGCCTGCAATGTGCAGGAGGTCAGACTAGATGAGCATGATGGTCCTTCTGACCTTAAAGTCTAGGAGTCTATGAGCTAATGAGGTCCTCCTCTTTAAACTCAAGTACTAGAGGTCTGTTCTTTGGTGCTGAGGTCTCTGGGTTCAAACCCTGCTGATGACCTATCCTGGGGTCATAACAATCACGGATGCATTCCCAGGGATGTTTATTTCCTTTTCTCCTCCCAGGTTCCTTCTGAAGAACATTTCCATGCAGAACTGCATTGGGCTTTACAGACTGGCTCAGGCTTACAACCACCAAGCTCTCTATTATGCTACCATGCAGCTCATCGTCCTAAACTTTGGAAGGTTCTGTGAGGATGATGACTTTTTGAGTCTGGACCTCAGCAGTTTAATCACCATCTTGTCTTCAGACGACCTTACAGTTGCTTCTGAGTTAGAAGTCTACCTGGCTGTGCGACGCTGGATACAGTTTCAACCCACCACAGGCCACACCCTCCTCAATGAGCTGATGAGGCATGTCCGGCTGCCCCTCCTGACAGATAGTGAGGTTGTAGAGGTGCAGCTGGATTCAGAACGGTATGGGGATGTTCAGCTTCTCTGGAAGCAGCTGGACAGTGAAGAGAGGTTGCAGGAGAGCGGGGGACTCAGACAAGGCATGTCTGATGAACTGATAATGTGTGTAGATTCAACGATGTGGGAGGACCAAGAGTTGGAGAATGAAGCTTTTCTGATGGGCTCTTATGATCCTCATGCTGAAAAGTGGGAAAAGCTCACAGGCTTGAAATCTTTGACACATCCAGCCTGTGTGGCACTTGGAGACAAGCTCTATGTATCTGGAGGCATCTACAGGAATTCTTATTCAGATGCTTTGTATGAGTTCAACTCTTTTAATGGCCAGTGGACACAGCTCCCTTCAATGTCCGTGCCCCGTGCTACACATGGATTCCTAATCTGTAACCAGAGGCTGTATGCTATGGGAGGCTGGTGTGGATTTCATGAGTTCCTCAATTCTGCAGAATGCTTTGACCTAGCAGAGCAGATATGGACTCCCATCTCTAGGATGCCTTTTGTTCTGAGCCGTTCTGCCTCCACAGTGCTCAAGAAGAAACTATACTTACTAGGGGGAGCAACAGGCCTGACTGGTTATTGGCAATTTCATAGAGGGCTTCTGATCTATGAAGTTAGCTCGGACACATGGACTCAGGTGTCTCTGGACAATGGGTTCTTTTCAGCGGGTGCTGTTGCCATGAATAATGGGATATACATTATAGGTGGGTATGCTGAAAAGAGAGCCAGAGAGTGGGCTGAGGGGGGTCTCATACCAGAAAACCGCCACTGCACTAGAAAGTGTTTCTTTATCTCTGATGATGGCAGCATGAATGAGGAGGTGATCGTTCCAAAACTGCCAAAGGCAATTGCTAATGCTGCAGTGGTCCATTGGGAAAAGAGGATCTACGTCTTGGGTGGGGAAAATTTAACCCAATGTTATAAAACAATTTATTATTGGGAACCTGGTGAGCCCAGGTGGAGCAAATGTCCAGAAGATATCCCTGTATTTTCTGAAGGTGTCAGCGGATTTGGTTGTACAACGCTGAAGAGACCCAAAAAGGAGATCCTGTCCCTTTTTCAAAAGACATCGGTAGCCCTGATAGGTGTTGTTGGGAAATAGCTGCCTCTTAATATTTCCTTTTAGTTAGCTTTGAATAAACATAAATAGTGGAGCAAGAAACAAACTATGATTAAATCTTGAGCACGAACATAATTACACAGGGTAATGTGGACTCACAACTGACACTAGCAAAAAGCTTACGACACTGTAAAAACACAGCCTGCTCCAGAAAGGCTGTGCCACATCAGTGGGGCATGATATTTCTTGCAAAAGGCTTTCTCCTGATTGAATTTGCCTGTGTTAGAGGTCAGAAAACTTCTGTATAAAGGGAGCAAATTTACAGAATGTTGAAGTATGTAACTGTGACCTGTAGTTTCTAGATGGATGGCCTTGCACATGGTTGTATTAAAATGCATCTTGGTCAAAAGGTCTGGTTGGAATTATATCCTGGAAAGCAATGACTCTGGAAAGGACTCAGTGGTCAGGAAGATAACCATTGGACTATGAGCGCCCAGTGTGATATGGTGGCTAAGAAAGCTACTGTGATTTTTGAAAGTATAAACAGGAAACGATTGAGTAAGAGTAGCGAGGTGGTAAAAATCTGTTGTAAAAATCACAAGGGAAACAATTCCTAGACTATTGTATCTAGTCGTCGTGTCTGAATTTCAAAAAAGAAGCTGAAAAATTAGAAAGTGTTCAGAAAAGAGCTACAGGAATGATTTGAAGTCTGGAAAACCTGTCTTTACAGGGAAAGAGTTAGGAAGCTCAATCTATTTAGATTATGAAAGAGAAGACTCAGAGGTGATGTGATCATGGTCTATAAGGTCTTTACGGGGAGAAGATTTCCGATAGATGAGGGCTCTTTAATTTAGCAGACAGAGGGCTAAGAAGAGCCAACAATTGGAAGCCGAAGCTAGATAACTTCAGGATAGACATAAGGCATTCTTTTAAACAGTGAGGGTAGTTAACCGTTGGAACAATTTACCACAGGATGTAGTGGATTCTCCATCACTTGGCGTCTTTAATTCAAGACTGGATATTTCTTTCTGAAAGATACATTTTAGCTCAGCCAGAATTTTTAGGCTAGATGTAGGAGTAAATTCTACGGCCCATGTTAGACAGGCGGTCAGAGTAGATGATCCTAATGATCCATTCGGGCACTAAGTACTATGAATGGTGACAACATCAAGAGAAACACACGTGCCACTCTCTGGAAGAATGTGAAAAATCTCAAAGCCATTTCTCTCGGAAATTCACATTTCTGAACTTTGAAACAGCTGGTGGAGGAGGATGAGGTTGTACTAAATAAAACTTCCTTTTGTGTAGATTAGGCACTAGGCTGGGAATCAGGAGGACCAGAGGTGTATCTCCACGTCTGTCCCTATCTGGTGGAACTCAAACTCAGTGATACTTATATAGAACTTTAGGAACATTGGCCCATTTTCAGGTGTGCATAACTGGATGCGTATCCAGCTGTACATCTTCTCTACTGATGCCTCAGTCTGAGACAGTTCATCATATTTGCCACCTTAGGTGTGGGACTCTCCCTCATGTTCTCTGCAGTGACGACCCAATGCAAAGAATTCACTTAGCGTCTCTGCAATGGCCTTGTCTTCCTTGAGTATTCCCTTTAGCACCTCGATTGTCCAGTGGCCCCACTGATTGTTTGGCGGGCTTCCTGCTTCTGATGTACTTACAATAAATTTGCTGCTAGTTTTTGGGTTCATAGGTAGTTTTTCTTCAAATTCTTTCTTGGCCTGCCTTCTTATACTTTTATACTTGATGTGCCAGAATTTACGCTCCTTTCAATTTTCCTTACTAGGATTTGACTTCCAATTTGTAAGAGATGCATTCTTGCCTCTAACCACTTCTTTTACTTTGGCGGTAGGCACGATGGCTTTTTTTTTTTTTTGGTTCTCATACTGTTCTTTTTAATTTGGGGTATACATTTAATTTGAGCCTTTATTGTGGTGGTTTAAAAAAGTTTCTATGTTGCCTGCAGGCACTTTATTTTTGTGACTGTTCCTTTTAATTTTCGTTTAACTAGCTTCCTCATTTTTGCGTAGTTCCCCTTTCTGAAGTTAAATGCTACTGTGGTGGGCTTCTCTGGTTTTTCCCTCCCAACCCCCACAATGATGTTAAATTTAATTATATTACGGTCACTATTACCAAGCAGTTCAGCTATATTCACCTCTTGGACCTGATCCTGTGCTCCACTTAGGACTAAATCAAGAATTGCCTCTCCCTTTGTGGGTTCCAGGACTAGCTGCTCCAAGAAACAGTCATTAATGGTGTCTAGAAACTTTATTTTCCGAATCCCACCCTGAGGTGACATGTACCCAGTCATTATGGGAATAGCTGAAATCCCCCATTATTGTTGAGTTTTTTATTTTTATAGCTTCTCTAATCTCCCTGAGCATTTCACAATCACCATCACGCTCCTGGTCAGGGGGGTCAGTAGTATACTCCTACTGCTATATTCTTATTAGTCAAGCATGGAATTTCTATCCATAGAGAGTCTATGGTACTGTTTGATTCATTTAAGATTTTGACTCTATGCCTTCTTTCATATATAGTGCCGCTCCCTGACCAGCATGACCTGTTCTGTCATTTGTATATTTTGTACCCTGGTATTACAGTGTCCCATTGATTGTCATCCTTCCATCAAGTTTCTGTGATGCCTGTTATATCAATATCTTTATTTAATACCAGGCAGCCAAGTTTGCTCATTGTAGTATTTAGATTTCTAGTATTTGTATACAAGCGCTTATAACATTTGTCAAGTTTTAGTTGTCTGCCTTCATACGATGTAATTGAATGGGACTCTTTCATCTGATGGTTTCTCTTCAGTTCTTACCTGTACTTTATCAGCTTCTCCTCTTTACCAGGATATAGAGAATCCCCATTAATAGCTCCTCCCCTACGTGATGTCTCTGTTCAAACTACGTTGCCCTGCACACCTATCAGTTTTCCCCCAGCCCTTAGTTTAAAAACGCTTCTACAACCTTTGTAAATTTACATGCCAGCAACCTCATTCTCTTTTGGTTTAGGTGGAGCCCATCTGTCCTGTATAGGCCCTTCCTTTCTGGAAAAGTTCCCCAGTTCCTAATAAACCTAAACCCCTCCTCCCTGCACTGAGGCCCTGTTCTAACTGGCCCTGTGCATGAAACTGGAAGCATTTCAGATAATGCTACCATGGAGGTCCTGGATTTTAATCTCTTACCCAGAAGATTAAATTTGGCCTCCAGGACCTCTCTCCTACCTTTTCCTATGTCATGTACCATGACCACCAGATCCTCCCCAGCACCGCAGATAAGTCTATCTAGATATCTTGAGAGATCCACAACCTTTGCAGCCAGTAGGCAATTCACCATGCAGTTCTCCCGGTCATCACAACCCGAGCTATCTATATTTCTAATGCTCGAATCCGCCGTTACTATTACCTGTCTCTTCCTAATAACTATGATTCCCTCTCACAGTGCGAGACGATACCATGGCGTCATCTGGAAGGAGGGTCCCAACTAATGGGATTGCTTCCCTCTGCTATAACTTGATGTTCTCCTTTCCTGAGGCTTTCATTGCCCTCAACAGCACAGAGGCTGTCAGACTGGGGGTGGGATTGCTCTAGTGTGTCCCCCAAAGTCTCATCTATGCACCTCTCAGTCTTTCTTAGACTAAGACCTTTTTACAGCAAGCCACCTATCAGGACCAGGAGTATTCGGTTGCAGTACTCACTGAGGGAGTGTTGTGTTTTACCCAAAACCAATCTGATCACTATGGGTGTCCTGTGGGAAAAAGCTCCTGTGTTATTACACAGTGGGCTGATGGGTATTGGATAAAGACCGAAAGGGGAGGCCAACAGTGTGGGTGTAATGGTTCCTCCGCTTTTAGGGAAACTCTTACAAATAGTCTTACCACAAAAGAAAGGTTTGGAAATATAACTTGCCGTCCAGTTAATATCTCCAATGTAGCAAGCCAATGGTGGGTTTGTAGTGGTCCCTATGGCGAGTGTAATTTGAACGGCACAATTAGAAACGCCCCCACTTGTACCCAATGAGGAGGGTGGGATGCCCCCTTAGGGGCATATGAACTGTTTGGAAAAGCAGCCTTAAATATCCCAGGAATCCCCTTAAGAAACAGTCCTTACTGGGCCCTACAGGGTCACTGTTTTGTATGTGGCCGAAAGGCTTACAAGGTGCTGCCAGCCAACTGGACAGGTAGCTGTTATATAGCTCATGGAGTTCCGCATTTGTCCATAACTGCCACACTGCCCAAAGGAAAGATTAGAAATGCCCGAGACACCTCTGTTGAGTCACGAGAAAAGACCCTGCGGCGACTGACTGCAGCATTGGAGGGCAATGTGAAGAATTCCCTCACAACCGAGAAGCTTGTAGGGTGCTCTGTACTGGGAATAGCGCCACTGTTTACCGGGCCAGCCATGGCATGCATAGGCCGCTATACTGTAAGGCTGCAAATGATACTTGAGAAAGTGGCCTTAGAGTTAGAGGACTCGGTTAGTGATTTAGGATCAGCAGTAAAAACATTAAATAAAGAGGTACAGCAGCTCAGGACGTTTTCCCTCCAAAACAGGCTGGCTTTGGACTATCTCC